GAGAAAGATCAGGCTTTCTACTCCCGTAAAGATTTACACCCTCGGAAACCCTGTACAGGGTCGCTATGGGTCGAAACCGACTCAACGGCACTTAACAACAACAACAACACTTGGTCAGTAGGCAGTGTGATCCCGTGGAGTACATAGATGGACGCTACTGGATACTCACAGGTCCCAGTGTGGACTCAGGTTTGACATTGTCACTGTCGGCTTTTTCATCTCCTGGCTCTACAGCAGAGAGGAGGAGACTCCAAAACATGTCCCGTCACCAAGGCGACACTTCTGCAGTGTCTGAAATCGTCACCTCTGTGTTTCAATGGTGGGTTTGAATTCTGAGGTTTAAACATTCTGTTCTTTAAGTCTGCAAACAGAATCCAATTATGGTATGCACCGGAAGGAGACCCATTAGACGAAGGAGGCGTGGTCGGCGTGCAAGACGCAATAACAGAAAAAAGAACACCTATCTGAACAGTGCCCATGAAGGTGGCCAGGAAGGTATGACGTCTCTAACATCTTGGTACACTCTACTGTTGCTGATTTCTTTTAAATTCTGGTGTTGACAAAATGTCTGAAACCCTCTATCTTAGGCTGGGCATTCTACAAAAGCAAAACCCGTGAAACATATACATATACATGGAGAAGTTTATTCTCAAGGAAATAGATTACAACTGTTGAGTCCCAGGTCTCCAGCAGAAGAGAGAGCCTTTCACTTGTGTCCATTATATTGGGAAGAGTCCACACCCCCAAGGAAACATCCCTTTCATAGACTTAACCATACCTGTATTAGGGTTCATCACCGTAGGAATAAGCACATCTTGCTTGCCAAACCATTGGAATTATGATCTAGTCAAGCTGACACAGAATCCTAACTATTACAAACTCAAAAGTGAAGATAGTATCCATTCAAAATTAATATTCTTAATTTTTACATATTTTTGCTTTTGTTTTTCTTGTCTTTGAAGGAGAGACCCCAGTAACAGATAATCCTGGGAGAAAAGATGCATCTGCAGGAGCAGTGGAGGAAGTGTCGAGGTAAGGTGTCCCAAGGAATGTCTGCCTATCAGGTCAAGTGCTTGAAGGAGAGTCGCCTTGTGATCATGAAGCAAGTAGTGTGTGTGTGAATCACTTGAACTGAGAGATTTCCTCCCAAAGAAGCAGGCCATTTTTGTGTATGTCCTTCACTGAATATTGTTCCTGTGATTTCTTCACAGGGATGAAGTGCAGACCGTAGTGGAGACATTGAGAGGTAAGTTTTAGGAGATGTTGGCATGGGAACAAACTTGCTTTATACCACATAACTTGGGTAGTAGGCAGTGTGATTCCATGGAGTACATAGATGGACACTACTGGACACTCACAGGTCCTAGTGTGGACTCAGGGTTGATGTTGTCACCATCCCCTTTCTCATCTCCTGATCTTACAGCAGAGAGGAGGAGACTGCAAAGCATGTCCTGTCACCAGCACGACACTTCTGCAGTGTCTGAAATCATTACCTCTGTGTTTCAATGGCGTGCTTGAACTCTGAGGTTTAAACATTCTGTTCTTTAAGTCTGCAAGCAGAATCCAATTATGGCATCCACTGGAAGGAGACCCGTTAGATGGGGGAGGAGTGGTCGGCGTGCAAGACGCGATGACAGAGAAGAGAACACTTATCTGAGCAATGTTCAGGAGGGTGGTCAGGAAGATATGACGTCTCTAACATCTTGGCACATGGGCACACTTTCCTATTTACTACTGGTAAAAAGTCTGAAAGCCTGCAAACAGAAGATAATCTCCATTAAAAACAAGCATACCTAACTTTACAATGTGTTGTTGCCTTTGTTATTCTTGTCTACTAGGAGACACCCCAGTAACGGATAATCCTGGGAGAAAAGATGCATCTGCAGGAGCAGTGGAGGAAGAGTCAGGGTAAGGTGTCCCAAGGAATGTCTGCCCATCAGGTCAAGTGCTTGAAGGAGAGTTGCCTTGAGGTCATGTAGCCAGCAGCGTGTGTGAATCACTTGGCCTGAGAGATTTCCTCCCCAAGCAGCAGGTCACTTTTGTGTGTGTCCTGCACTGAAACTTGTTCCTGTGATTTCTTCACAGGGATGAAGTGCACTGTCTGATGGAAAGATTTGGAGGTAAGTTTTTGAGATGTTGGCATTACAATAAAATTATTTGCATTAGAGAACTTGCATAATTGGGGAATTTAGTGGGTGGGCTCCAAGACTGTTATTTAATTTTTTGTTCTCAGATGTAGGAGTTTGAATGTTGTTGAGTTGGTTCCCACTTAGTGACCCCGTATAGGGTTTGTGAGATCCAGTAATCACTTTGAACTGCTAACCTTGCAGTCACTAGTCCACTGATCCTACAGTCCCACACCAGGGAGAATTTACTGTGATTTAATCTTCCTAGATTTCCTTACTGTGGTTGTATAATTGTTGATTTGACAACTGAGAATAGTACGAACAGTGGTGAGAATGATACCTTTTTACATATGCATGAAGGAGCTCTGGTAATGTAGTAGGTACAAGGTCAGCAGTTCGAAACTACCAGATGTTCCATGGGGACGGATGAGACTTTCTGCTCCCGTATAGATTTACAGCCTTGGAAACCCTATACAGAGTCATTTTGAATACACAGTGTAAATGGCAAACCTTTAAGATAGTGTTCTGCTTTGATTTTTACATTAATAAATTGGTGTGACACTGGGTTTATGTGCTGGACTACAAAATGAGTTTGAACTTCAAGGTGGGTGGTTAAAGCTCACCAGCTGCTCCTCGGCAACCCTATACAGGGTCGGAACCGACTTATCATCACTTAACACCAACAACAAATTGTATAGTGGAGAACTAAAGATCACTTTAAGGAGCTTTGGTAGCGTAGTGGTTACGAATCGGGCTGCAAACTACAAGGTCACCAGTTCGAAACTGTCAGTGGTTCCACGGGAGAAAGATGAGGCTTTCTGCTCCCATAAAGATTTACAGCCTCGGAAACCCTGTACAGGGTCGCTATGGGTCAGAACCGACTCCACGGTACGTAACCACCACCACCACCAAAGATCACTTTACTAA